GAGGGCTCCAGGACTCTGCCTGTGGCTCTCTTCTCCATATATGATCTCTCCCTAGGTGAGTTCCTGTCGATCCACTATGACTTCTAATGCTTTCTACATTTCTAATGAATTTCAAATTTATACCTCTCTCCTAAATTCATTATATCCAAATGCCTTCTGACAACAAAACAATAGGCAGTAAGTAACCTCACATTTGACAGAGATAGGAAAACACATTTCCTGATTCTGCTAGCCTAAGCAGTCTACATAAAGATGGTTAGAAGTTGGAAAACCCCTTAAAGAAGAGTCTATGGAAAATACAATACCTAAGTTGTGGGTTATCAACTTAGTGGAGGCTGGTGTGAAAGAAATCGTCCCTACCCTGAGTTGAACAGGAGGTTATGTTACCCACCTCAATTAAAATCAATTGAATGGAGATCTGAAAGAGCCACTAAAAGACACCTAAAACATGTTAAGAAAGGAAGACTGGCATTTCACCGGCCATATGCTCTGAGCTATAGAAAATCAGAAACCCATTCTAGTGCTGCAGTGAGAATGGAGTGTGATGACCAAGTTTTTATAGAGCATAAAGTGTATCCCCTGGAGACTGATGCCTGGCTTTTGCCTGGAGAAATTTCAAAGAGAAAGGCTTGTAGAGCAGCAGCCTAGGACAGCGGGAGAAAAGTAACCGCAACATAGGAACCTGCTCTATTATCGCTTTCTGACATGGCAAGAATGAACTCGCTTCCTAAAGGTCAAGTGGATGCTGAGAAACATCACAGGAATTGAGCCACTGTCCAAGGGTCCTTGCCCTGTCAGGGCAAAGGGACCACAGCATTAAAATTAAGTACAGGGTAGAAACACTAAGTTAGGCAGCGTAGGTAACCTACATTCAACCAGGGAATACACATTCTTTTCAAACACGTATGGAATTTTTATAAAAATTGACCATATGCTGGGCCATAAAAATACAAAAAAATTTCAGACAATTGAAATATACAGCATAGATCCTCTGACAGAATAATTACACTGAAAAGATTATGTATTTAGTTGAATACACAGTTCTACTTCCATTATTTATTATTTATTTATTCCATTTATTAATCAATGTGCAAATCTTACACATTCTTCCTCACTGATTTTTGTCTGCTTACTCTGTTTTCTCCTTGTGTTCTGCCATTTTTTCCATTATGTTTTGAAGCGACATTAGGTTCATATTTAAAATTGTTAAATATTCCTGACAAATGGAATTTTTCTACATGAAATATCCTGTATTCTCTAGTAATGCTTATTTATCTGAAAGCTTATTTTAGCTATTTTGTGCAGATTATCTTCTGCCCATCCTTTTACTTTCAAATTCTCTGAATTTTTATGTTCTAGCCGTGTCTTTTTAAGATTTTATTTATTTGACAGAGAGAGAGCTCACAAGTTGGGCAAAGGCAGGCAAAGAGAGAGGGGGAAGCAGGCTCCCTGCTGAGCAGAGAGCCCCATGCAGGGCTCCATCCCAGGACCCTTAGATCATGACCTGAGCCGATGGCAGAGGCTTAAACCACTGAGCCACCCAGGCTTCCCTTAGCTGTGTCTCTTATGAACAGCTACATCAGCTATCTGTGCTGCACAACAAAAAGACAGAAAATGTTCAAATGTTTGTTTTTTTTAAGATTTTATTTATTTGACAGAGAGATCACAAATAGCCAGAGAGGCAGGCAGAGAGAGAGGGGGAAGCAGGCTCCCTGCTGAGTAAAGAGCCCGAAGCCGGGCTGGATCCCAGGACCCTGAAATCATGACCTGAGCCGAAGGCAGAGGTTTTACCCACTGAGCCACCCAGGCGCCCCTCAAATGTTTAAAAGTTAAGGAATACAATGAGAAGTAGTCCATAGTTCAAAGAAATCAGAATGAGAATTAGAAAATATTCTAAGTTAAATAACAAGTATAGTATATACCAAAACTCGTAAGATGAAGCTAAAGCTCTATTTAGGAAGAATGTTATAATTTAATATTTTTCAAAGATTTTATTTATTTGTAAGAGAGGAGACACAGCGAGAGAGGGAACACAGCAGAGGGAGTGGGAGAGGGAAAAGCAGAGCAGAGCAGGGAGCCTGATGCGGGGCTCGATTCCAGAACCCTAGGATCATGACCTGAGCCAAAGGCAGACACTTAACAACTGAGCCACCCAGGTGCCCCAAGAATGTTATAATTTAAAATGTACATTATAAAGGCTGAAAATCTGTAAGCTGAACATTTTTTCAAGGAATAAGAAGAAAAGAACAGCAAATTAAACAGAGAAAGAACAAAAATACTAAGTGTGAGAGACAAAGTTAATAAAATAAAGAACAAAAATAGAATAGGATCAGCACAGCCGAAGGATGGCTTATTTTGAAAAACCTAGTAATGCTGGTAAACGTCTGGTGAGACTGGTTAAGAACACAAGCGAGAAGGCACAAATTATCAGTGCTAAGAATTAAAATGGTAGTATCACTACAGATCCTGCAGACATTAAGAAAATAATGAGAGGATATCATGGACAGCTCTGTAATGAAAATTTGGACAACATGGACAAAGCCCTATAAAAATAAAAGCCAAACTAACCAAAGAATAGAAAATATTAAATCATTAATTTCAAACTTTCCTAAAAACCAGGTCCAGATAGCTTCACCAATAAATTCTATCAAACACTTAAGAAATCATCCCAAAGTTAGATGAACTCTACCAGAAAACAGAAAAAGAAGATACATACGTCCCTGTATTTCTGAAGCCAAAATAACCTTGATATCAAAGCCCAAGATGGAGTACATAAAGTATGGGCCAATCTCACTCATGAACAAAGATGTAAATATCCTGAACAAAACATTAGAGAGGGGAATCCGACAATACATAGAGAGGACACTATATCATGACTTAAATTGGGTTTATCTAGGAATCCACATTAACAGATTAATGAAAAAACCTCTTAAGATCACCTCAATCCATGTGGAATAAGTATATGATAACATTCAACAAATATTCATGGTAAATGCCCTTAGCAAACTAGGAATAAAAAGGAACTTCCTTAATCTAATAGGAGATATCTAATTTTTAAAAATCTATAGTATACATCATAGTGAAAATACTGAAAGAGAAATCAGGAATATACAAGGATGTCTACTATCATCGCTTTTATCCAACATTGTACTCAAAAGGATGTGGCCAATGTTGTAAAGTACAAGAACTACAAGGTAGAAAGATTCAAAAGGAGGAAAGAATACTGTTATTATCTGCATATGGTATGACTGTGTATGTAGAAAATCCAAAAGGACAAAGAGACACTATTAGAATAAGCTTAGCCAAGTTGCCAGACAAAATCATTACACAAAAATAAATAGCCTTCAGAGCAGCTGTAAACAACACAGAGTTTTTTAAAGATACCATTTATAATAATATCAGGTTCCTAGGAACAGATTTAACAGAAGATATGCATGACAACTTCAGAGCAAACTTTAAATCTTTATTGAGAGAATTTAAGCCAAATTATCAATATAACAAACTGTATGCGTGGCTTCAGCTTCTCTTCTTTTTAACTTATGACTGTCCATCACCTAAAACATAAATATAACAGTTGGGTACATCACTTAGCAGAACTTAGACAATAATAAAAGTACACGGAGGACACTACAGCTTTGGTTTTATAAGATGAAACTAAAACCAGAACCCTAACCAGGGGATAGACTTCTATGCAAATGTACATTTTCAGCATATAAGCACTAACTTTTTAAATGCATCACTCCTTTTGGTAGTATGAAGAAAAGATTTCTCAAACCCAGAACAGATTAAATTCCAAGAACTTATTTAAAGATAATTTTAAGTAGCGAGCAAAATATGCCAGTGATTTCAGTTAAAAGAAAATCAACCAAGTAGAAACTCCAAGAGCAAAACAAAACAAGTAAACCCAGTGTCATTCAAATTCATTCACTTGAAATAATCTCCTAATCATCCATTTCAGCTAAAATAATAATATCATACTTGGAACTGTTTTAACTACAGAGGACAAAGGACATTATTCCATTTGGTTTGTCTCTTGTGCAGAATTATTTCGTTGATCTAGCTCAATCTTTATATGGTCTATTTATAGAATGGTGGCCATCTTGTTCATTTGCATCTATTGTCCTGGTGTAAGCAGTCAACAGTACTCCCTTTAACTCTCAAGAGTGGCCTGGTTTAGATAATGATAATTACACGGTCACCCAAAAAAAAAAATTACAGATCACACTAATTATACAACACTACCATCATAGAGGACATTAAAATGTGAAGGAAAATATTACTTCTCATTGGTAGAGCTCACAGTTTAAAAAAAAATCAACAAACTAACCTATAAAAGCCAAAACAAAGAGATCCATATTATTTTTTGGTGTCTAAAAGATATAAAAAATAGTTATTTTTGAGAAATAGCTTAGGCAAATAAAAAGAAAATCAATACTACTGTGTTGTTTAGATATCCAATTGGTACTAGGCCATGTTAAATAATTTATATACTTTAAAAAGTAATTGACAGGGGCACCTGGGTGGCTCAGTGGGTTAAGCCACTGCCTTCGGCTCGGGTCATGATCTCAGGGTCCTGGGATCAAGCCCCACATCAGGCGCTCTGCTCAGCGGGGAGCCTGCTTCCCCCTGCCTCTCTGCCTACTTATGATCTCTCTCTCTTTCTCTCTGTCAAATAAATAAATAAAATCTTTAAAAAAAATAAAAATAAAAAAATAAAAAATAAAAAGTATTTGACAAACAATAAAAATAAAAAATAAAAAGTATTTGACAACTTGCATTGGGTTTCAAAGAACTTCTATTCCAAAGTAATACTTCCATATTTTATAATTCAACAACATGGCTTTGATATATTTTTTTTGCTCTGACACCATCTTTGAATCAAACATTTGATGTCTGAACTACCTTTCAAATAATCTTTATATTTGTGATTTATTACAAAGGTATGATAATATTGCAGGAAAAACCAACCCCGTGACTTGCATTCTTAATGGATAACTTACCTGCTTCTTGAACTTTAGCAAATGCCAGATCAGGTGTAGTCTTCCCTTTCACATCAGGGCCATCTCCATGCTCACCTCCAGTCTTTTCCAGACCCTTTTCCTTTTCCTGGCTTTCAGCTTCCAGTTCAGGTTCTTACATAAATAAACAGAATTATTAATGTAAGCAGTAAACCATAAATTAATCTTACTAAATACAGCTCTGTAGGTTAGTACTGCAAAAAATGTGATGTATAAAAATACATTGAGCATTAAAAAGTTTTCTGCTAGAAAGTGGAGTTGTCTTTCTCATACATTATCTCCTCTGTGAAGTGTTTCCTTTTCTAAAACTGTTTTAAGACAACTTAGTTGTCACCTTTGTAACCTATATACACTTCTATTATTATACTTACTAGATCAGCCATTTGTTTACATGAATTTCTGGCAAGATGGTGAGCTCAAGACAGAAATCATTCTCTCGTTTATATTTTTATCTTCAGCATCTAGTACATTACCTGCCACCAAGCAGGCCCCAAAAAATGACTGAAAAAGTCATTACCAATAGTAAGATTAGACAAACCCAAGCTGAGGAACGTTTTATAAAACAATCATTTTTGACTCCAAAAAATGTCAGTCATGAAAGACAAAGAAAGACTGAAGTATACTTCTAAGAAAAAGAGAGATGACAACTAAATACAATGGGTGGTTTTGGGTTGGATCCTGGATCAGGAAAAAATAATGGTATAAAAGATATTATTAAGCCAACTGACAAAACTGGGTTATTACTAGGCTAACAAACTACATATTAGATAAGGTTTTCTTAATGTTAAAGTTCCTAAATTTGATCATTGTACTGGGGTTATGTAAAAGAATATCCCCCTTTTTAAGGAAACAGATACTGAATTACCTTGAGAATAAAGGGTTATATTTGAAACTTATGCTCAGATGGCTTATATTTGAAATTTACTCTCAGATGGTTTAGCAATAATAATGTGTACTATTATCGAATGAAAAGGTGATATGTGGCACAGGTTAGCAATTAGTGAATCGACATAGAAGATATAAGAATACACTGTACTTTCGTACAACTTTTCTGTAAGTTTTAAATATTTTTAAAGTAAAAAGTTAAAAAGAAAAAGAGTATGTGACAACTAGGGGCACCTGGGTGGCTCAATCAATTGAGCATCCAACTCCTGGTTTCAGCTTGGGTCGTGATCTCAGGACTGTGGGATCAAGTCCCACATCATGCTCTGCACTCAGCAGGGAGTCTGCTTGAGATTCTCTCTTTCCCCCTTCTGCCCCTCTTCCCACTCACACACGCACCCCCCTCTCTCTAAAGTAAATCAATCTTAAAAAAATATATGTGACAACTAGATTATGGTTCAGGAAAACAAAAATGTTGAAGACTTCAACAGCAACTAGGAAAGGATTTCACATTTTTGTTTCTCTATGATTTCAAAAATTAGTCTAAGAGCTAATCAAAATATATCTAGGTTTGCTTAAATGTTTGATGCAATGACTTAAGCCCAGAAAACAGCATTCAAAAAAGGCCAAATTTAACTAGTGATATAGTATAAATTCTATCTAAATTTAATGTCGTTTCCCTTGGTTTGTTAATTTAGAGCCTTGGCAAGAATTCTATTCCCCAAGCATGCCAAATAATTTAAAATATGGGATGGTAAAGTGCTCAAAGAAGGAAAACTTATCAGAGAGGGGCTGCAACTATACCTTTCCCTTACCAAACAGGTTTCCAGCCAATTTTCAGGGAACCCTTTATCTATTTCTATTACTAATAGAGCCTAATAGATGAAATACAACATGTTTCTCCATCCCCTCGTCACCTTGAACCCCACATGCTCCTTCTTCTCTCTCTTGTCCAGGCTCAATATCTGGATCCTCAGTAGGTGGCTCCTTTTTTTGAGGTATTTTTTTACCTGGTTGCTTAGCCTTGGGGGAGGGTAGGTGCAAATAAAGAGTATTGATATTAATACTATCATGATAGAAGACACAAATATACATACTACATGGAAATAATTATAAATCTGAATCTTTCTTATGCTCTTCTCTGTAAGTATTCAGTAAAATTATTCTTTCTATATAGAAAATATTCTGAGAAAGGAATTATCTGCAAGGACCAATATTTCGGGAAACCTTTCTAATCTTTTCTGAGATGTGGTATTTGTTTATTAAAAAGTACAATAAGAAAGCCATAGAGAGAATTTCCAGCCCAATTTACATATCCGGGCAACAACAGAAAATAAGTCTTTTTGCTCAGTCTCTCTCATGGGATTAATTTTTCACCCATTTTCAACAAGGAAGTCCTTTAAACAACAGATCTATATTGGTTCAACAACTTTTTCAATGGCTTTTCATAAAAATTATTTCTGGCAATAGAAGGAAGATGTTAAAGCACTCACAACTCCAGGTTCATCCAGCTTAGAAGATTTTTTTCCATCTCCCTTTCCTCTAGATTTTGATCTTACTCGAGCACTCATATTTCTCACTGAAAGTAGAAAATCATAAACTGAAGATTGTAATAAAACAATAATTATACTGGACTATCTTCACAGCCAACTGCTGGTTATAAATTCTTTACATTTGTAGGGATTTCCAAAACAAAAAAAATTAGTTTTTATTAATTTTATTTAATTAACTTAATAATTTACTAAACTTATAAAAATCTTTTATTACTCTTTTAAAAAATTTAATAATTTATATTAATCTTGAATTCATAACCACTGCTTATTTTCCAATCGCATCAAATTAGGCTGTCTACAAAACCTCTGTTTCACAGAAATTTGGCAGACAGGGACCTTCAAGTACCTGAAAAAAGACATATGACTTTCCCAAAAAGATTGAGTTTCACAATTGGACTCCCCACTATGAGAGATTTTGTATTATATAGCCCTGTCCACCTCTCCACTACCGTTCCCAATTCTGTGCTCTGTCAGCAGTTTCAGGTGCCTCCAGAACTCAGATGCCTCCAATAGCACCCCTTAGACTCCCCATCTTCATCTGGCACCCTCCCCTCCACAGCCCATCATCTCCCCTTTCCCAGCCCCACCACCACAGGGGTCATGGGGGCCATACCTGTGAGGAGGATAACAACCTCAAAGAACTTGCTCCCCAGAGACCAGGAACCACACTGCCCCTACCCACCGAAAGGCAGCACCCTCCTCACACTCAAACTTGAACTCCTGGTTGGACTAATCTGCGGACCTACTGATTGAGTCTCAGTGAGAAAAAATCCACAAGACTGAACCTGCTAGGCTGAGCACCCAGAAGGCCTTGCACACGCCCCCACATCAACCACCACAACTCACTCACACTTACACTCCTGGGAGAATGATGGAGTCTCCGGGACAAAGAACCCAGACAGATAGACGCGACTGGCACAGCTCTGCACAAAAAACTTTTTGCACACGTCCCACACCAGTGGCTGATGGGAAGGCCTGTAGCACTGGGCATGCGCACTGCTATAGCACATGCCACGCGGTAAGGCTTTCCCTGCCCCCCACCCAGGGCCTCACCACAGCTAGACACTGCGCATGTGCACTGCAAGTGCCCTAGGGGAAGGACTCCCCTGCCCCCCCTCACGGAGGCCTCACCAAAAACTCCCGAATCTGCTCTCTATTGGCAGTTCCCGGTCCTGCCAAGACCCAGATACCTCAAATAATATCACCAAGATTTGCCCCATCTTTATCTGATCCCCGCTTCCTCACCCACCCACCATCCTCCCCCGCCTCAGAGCCCCCCAACAAAGACAAAACCCATGACAACTGCAAGACCCATGAAGAGAAACACGATTACCTCGGGAACCTCCTCCTCTGAGACAAGAAACTATACCACCCCGACCTGCCTGAAGCCCGCTGGTTCTTTCCTCACTCACTCACACTTACGCTCCTGGGAAAATGATCGAGTCTCCGGGAGAAAGAATCCAGACAGAAAGACGCGACTGGCGCAGCTCTGCACACGGGGCTTTTTGCGCACATCCCACACCAGTGGCTGATGGGAAGGCCTGCAGCACTGGGCATGCGCACTGCTACAGCACATGCCACGCGGTAAGGCTTTCCCCGCCCCCCACCCAGGGCTGCATCGAAAATTCCCAAATCTGCCCTCTTTCAGCTCCTGGTGCCTCCAAGACCCAGATATATCAAATGATGCCCCAAACTCCGCCCCATCTTCATATGGCCCCCTCCCCTCCACTTGTTCTCCACCGTGACAAAAGCCATGGTGGCTGCAAAGCCTATGAAAAGAATAAAGACCTCCAAGGCTTTCCGCCTCAGAGACCAGAACTACATGATCCTGACCCACCCAAAGCCCACTGGCTCCCTCCTCACAGTTGCATTTAAACTTCTACACAGACTGATCTGGAGACCTACCTGTTGAGTCTTAGACAGTGAGAAAGAAATCAGACGGTACAATGCGACCTGCACGGAACTTCACCAGGACCGCTTTGCACACGCCCTCACACCAGTGGCTGATGGGAAAGTGCTGGGCACTGGACATGCGCACTGCATCCTGCATGTGCTGCGCGGGCGGGGCTTTCCTCATCCCTTCATCCGGGAACCCACCATGGATTCCTGCATCTGCCCTTTGTCGGCAGTACGTGATACCTCTTGCACCCAGACACCTCAAATAACATCCCTCAAGACTCCCGCCAACTTCATCTGACCCCTTTGCAGCTCACCATCCTCCCTTGTCCTGGCCCCGCCACAACATGGGCCATGGCAGCCAGAGGACCTTTGAGGAGAAAGATGATGACCTGGAGGAACTTCCTTCTCAGAGACTACAGATCCCTCTGCCCCCATCCGAGTCTTGCTGGCTCCCCATCACACTCATGCATTCACCCTATTTGCTTTTACACTTGCAGAGAGACAGCAGAGAGCCTATGGGAGAATTAGAAAGGGAAAGAAAAATGGCATCTATCTTCCGTTGCCACCGAAACACAGCCTCTGCGGAGTCAACTTCACCAGCCAATCCCAAGCTTTGGAGGCATGTGTAATAACACCTGTGAGTATGGGCAGTGATGTGTGTGTCACATAGGCTGTGGATCCAGCCTTCCCCAACCAAGCAGACTCTGCCCTGCCTGGAACAGGGCATTGTTTCCGAATCCTGGAATACTTGTCCTTCCCTTCTCCACCCCCCAAATATGTCAGTGTGTCTAGGACTGTTCCCAGTCCTGCATTTCACCTGCCAATTGGCCCCCCAAATTTTCTCCTTGATGCAGCTGTCCCAGGGCCCTCAAGAGAATCTTAGGCTCCCCCAGAGATGTGTGAAAGCTTTTAGGCTCTGAAAGTGTGCAAAGCCATTTTAAGCATAAGAAGAATCCAGAAAATGTAAAGAAAAGTATTGCTAAATTCGAATATATGAGCTTTAAAACCTGTACATATCCTGTAACCCAGCACTTCTACTTCTAAAACTTTATGTTAGGGCATCTGGGTGGTTCAGTTGGTTACGCATCTGTCTTCCACTCAGGTCATGATCCTAGGGTCCTGGGATCAAGTCCCACATCGGGCTCCTGGCTCAGTGGGGAGTCTGTTTCTCTCTCTCTACCCCTCCCCCCTGCTCATGATCTATCTTTTTCACTCTCTCTTTCAAATAAATGAAAAAAATCTTTTAAAAATAATAAAACTTTATGTTAAGGAAACTGTCTTGGATGTGAATAAAGATTTAGATACATGGGTTTTCCAAAGGAGCTTAATTTATAAAAGAATGGTCATGGATTTGCTATATAACTAAACTGAGGCACATTCGAAAGTGGAATGTGGCCACCCATCAAAAACAATACTGACTAATGTCTGCTGTCATACTGGTGCTGCTTACATTGAGTTATTAACTTGAAACAGCTGGTTATGTAGCATTGTGTATGTGCCGCATGATCCCAAAAGGAGAGGATTTGGTAAAGTTCACTTCCTACTCCTCTCAGACAATAAATATAATTTGTTTTCCTGAAGCCAGCATGTTCCAGGGCTCCAAAGACACATGGTACTCCACAGGTAACACAGGAGGTAAAATGCAGTCCTCAGGATTGTAGGTCTCCTGCATCTGGTAAACCTCCAAAGGCTTCACCATGACCTGGGTGGTCTGGTCCTCCACCGTCAGGGAAAGAGGGAGGGGAGGGGAGGGGGAGGAGGACAGGCAGCCCACTGCTCCTGCTTTTGGCAAGCAAAGGTAGGTGGACACCTACAAGACAGAAAGGAATTTGCCCTGCCCTTGCCTATCTCCACCCCCCACCAAAAACCCTTTCTTTCTTTCATTCCCAAACTCTGCAGGTTGCCTTTAGAGAAGCACACATTCTTTGAGAGTTAGAAAGATCCCCTGTGGCAGAAGTAGGATTGCCACATCCCTCCCTCTCTGCCTTCCTCTCACCCTCCCCGTTTCATACAGACAAGATCTAGAGCCAATTTAGAGCCAAGGGTAAAGAATATATAATTTTTCCTTGATTTCACTAATTAGGGATTACCACTTTTAATATCTAATCAGGAGCTGTTCCTACAATTCAGATCTTCCTGTGTATGAAATAAAGATTTACTGAGAAGGATTGAGGTCTCATACTCTTTAATCAGCATAAACTGTGGGATCTGGCCTCAGTCTCATGTTTCTCCTCGGGTGAGCTGTTTTATTGGCTCTTAGTCATTTCCTGTTATCTCTTGGAAAGACTATCTGCTGCCCAGCTGTCTCCCTGACCTTGGTGCTTTGTCGGCAGCAGCTGCGCTCTCTGGGTAGGATCAAGTTTCTTCAGGACACTGGGAAGATGGGGTCTAGTCTGTGTGAGAGCTTAGAGTCTAAACTGAAGAAAAAAAAATCCAATTTGCCCTGTGCTTCAAGCCTTCCAAGTAACCTCATACTCGGACAACATCAGGGCCGAGCAACCACTCTGACCAAGGACAGTCAGGTACTCCCAAGACCTTGTTTGTATCATTGTGAAGATGGTAGATAGCATTCCATTTTATTTGTTTTATGGCACAAGTAAAATCTGCTCCTCACAAATAATTCAGTCACTAAGAATTGCTCAGTTCCACTCTCATGTCATTATTATTTAAATCCCAGCATGAGGTCACCTCATTCTGGGCAAAATTAACACCTGGAAGTAATAGTGTTGTTAGGACCACTGAGGGGAGCCAAAAGGCATCCCTTTCTGCCATTCCTGTCCCTCCCCTTCCTCACCATAGCCGAAGGAAAAGAGACTTTTTGTCCATCCATTTACTATTGTTGGAGGTGATAATCAAGAATAGGGACTAGTGGGACGCCTGGGTGGCTCAGTTGGTGAAGCAGCTGCCTTTGGCTCAGGTCATGATCCCAGCGTCCTGGGATCGAGTCCCACATCGGGCTCCTTGCTTGGCGGGGAGCCTGCTTCTCCCTCTGCCTCTGCTGCCACTCAGCCTGCCTGTGCTCTCTCTCTCTCTCTCTCTGGCAAATAAATAAATAAAATCTTTAAAAAAAAAAAAAAAGAATAGGGACTAGTGACTGTGCCCAGTCTGGAGTGGAACAT